TTACAAATTTAAATAAACCCTTTTAAAATGAATCCGTAAGCGTAGGCTGTTATTTTGCCATTGTCATGTATGCAGATATGTACAAGTATTACGCCAAAGTAAGCCTATCATTTAGCGAACTTAACTTTAACCTTGTTCTTTTAACAGTTGGGCTTCCCTGCCCAAAAAGTTTCGTTCATTTCAAGCGACGCCGAACTCCGTTTACTTTTCAAACAATTTAAAGTGTTCTTGTTTGTCAACAAAATTACCGGCCTCATAAGAAGTAATTTAAGTCTGTAAACATGTAAGGCACATCCATTTATAATTTCGGTAACCTTGAAACACGTTAAACCACAGATGTTGATAAGAAAACTATTACAACCACTCTGGCTTTTTATAACATTAGCTCCACCTCTACCCCCGTAACATTAAATGTGATTTACACAGTGCATCAATAATTATGGTAATACAATAGTATGATATACACCCATTTGAAATGTGCAGTTCTGCATAATAAGTACTTTTATTTTTTGTGCTTTTAAGTATATTTTGATGCCAATACTCGTGCTTTTACTAAGGTAACATTTTGAATGCAGGACCTTTATGTTTATTAGAGTATTTTTACACTGCGGTATTGCTACTTCTGCTTAAATAAACAATCAGAGTATTTTTTCCACAGCTGGATAAGGCCTTCAGAAAAAAAGAGTAGGGGAAACTGATGGCTTCCAATCCAAGGGTGAGACTATCACGTGACTGCCCCAATATGAACAAACTGTTTCAACTGAAACTTGTGTGCCACCTGGTGTTCTGTGGATCCCATTTCATTTCATGGGCATCAGCATGCTCTCCTAACTATTATTCTAACTATTGTTATACCCAGTTGCCGTCCCTGGTAGGCTAGTGGTTGAGGCGCACTGCTGCGGCCCGGGTTTGAATCAGGGTTGCGTCAGGAAGGGCATCTGGCGTAAAACACGTGCCAAATGCCAACATGCGAGTCGTCAGTGTGACGATTCGCTGTGGCGACCCCTAAAACGGGAAAAGCCAAAAGTGACTTTCTTTTCTGTTACACCCCAGTTCTTTTATTGGACAGCTCTGAATAACAAAGGAGTCCGTTTTTCTTCATTTAGTGTTGATTTATTTCAATCCATAAGCAAAACTAGAGAAATGCATTTCCTGTCGAAAATGCGTGTGGATGCTACAAGCTGAAAGACCATCCTGAAAATGCCTGAAATCAATTGCTGAAACAGCTGAAAGATTAGAAGAAATGGCTGAAGTTCTTTGTTGAATAATCTGAAGGATGAGATGCAATAAAGTAGGAATGGCGTTGAAGAGCTGAACATAGTAATAATAAATTTCACACTGTGGAATATCCATTTACTAGTCTTCTCTTCTCAAATAAAAGAACACGTCTCACAGTATGAAGTTTAGAAAACATCTGAAGAGAAGCATGAATGTCCTTTGATAACTGAAATACCTGAAAGTATGCTGAAGTAGAATTTACCATTCATTTGAATGGGCAAAATTTTGCTGAAAGACACTAAATATTTTAAAAAGTATAAAGGTTAGAAACAAGAAAAATAAAAACATAAATGTCCTTAAAAAGCTGCACATGTTGATACCTGAACGGCTTTCATAGCTGAAAGTATGCTGAAAAAATTAAGTGCCAAAAAACAGACAGAAGGAACCAGAACAATAATAATAACTAGAAAACTGCATTTCCTTTCGAAAATGCGTGTGTGGATGCGAATTGCTGAAAGATCGCCCAGAATATGCTGAAGACTTTGACACCTGAATGGTTTTGCTAGCTGAAAGTATGCTGAAGTAGAATTTCCCTATTCTTTTGAATGGTGCAAAACTTTCACAATAAAGCTACATATTGAAGAAGTATGGAGTTTAGAAAGGTTCTGAATAGAAGCATGAATGTCCTTGAAGAGCTGAACATTTTAAAAGCTGCAAGTAATCTGAGCTAGAATTTCCCCATTCATTTGAATGGTGCAAAACTTTCAAAATAAAGCTACATATTTCAAAAGTATGAAGTTTAGAAACATTCTGAATAGAAGCATGAATGTCCTTGTGGAGCTGAACATGTTGATACCTGAAATAGTCCAAAGTATACAGAGGTAGAATTGTCCTATTCATTTGAATGGTGCGTAACTTTCAAAATAAAGCTACATATTTCAAAAGTATGAAGTTGAGAAAATGTCTGAATAGAAGCATGAATGTCCTTGAGGAGCTGAACATGAAATAGCTGAAAGCATGCTGAAGGAGAATTTTTTCATTCATTTGAATGGTGCAGAATTTTCAGAATAAAGCTAAATAGCCTCAACACGGACAAGACGAAGGAGATGATAGTGGACATGAGGAAGGAGAGGAGAAGTCATCGGCACTGTTCATCCGGGGGCTCGAAGTGGAGAGGGTGAGCAGCTTCAAATACCTGGGTGTCCACATCAGTGAGGACCTCACTTGGACACTTAACACCACACATCTGGTCAAGAAGGCCCAATGGCGACTGTACTTCCTGAGGAGGTTTGGCATGTCGCCTAGAATCCTTTGCAACTTCTACAGCTGCATCATTGAGAGCATCTTGACCAGCTGCATCATTGTCTGGTATGGCAGCACTACTGCTATGGACCGCAAGCGCCTGCAGAGAGTGGTAAAGACTGTTGAGAAGATCACTAGGACTCCACTGCCCACTCTGCAGGG